CAAACACGACTGGACAAAAAGCAGGGCCATCAGGTATCGATACAATACTTATTTACTTACTCCGGGCACATGTTTTTGTCTTGTCCCATATCTACCTCTGAATAAATGTGGGAATAAAGTCACATTCAAACAATAATATTTGGTATATAAGTTAGAGTGTAAACGTTATTTATACAGTTTAAAGGAAAACGTAAAAGAAGATAGATCTAAGTTTATTTTTCTCATATAAATACTACTTAATTTTTTTTCATAACATATAGGTACAATGGCTTAGACAAAGGAAACTACAGACTATAGTTATTTAATAAATGAGGAGCTAGTGAAAACTTCTGATATGCAGTTAATAAACTGGAATTTAAAGAGAATAAGAATACTTTTTCCAAAATTATAAAAGATTTTCATTGCCTGATTCATAAGAAAAATTCAATAGAGATTTAATTTAAGATTAAAATTGTATTGTTATTAATAAATGTAAGTTATACATTCATATTATTTACCAATGATATTTAGAAAACGTATATTAATTAAATTACCTATACAAATATTTAATAGAAGTAGTTAACCTTTGAATTCGTGTATATAATGGCACAAGTAAAGTAAGTATTTATTAATTATATTTACAAATTTTGTAATGATTACAAAAACAATATAAAAGACTTTAATAGTTTTCACGATCTTTATATTCTGAAAAAATTGATTAATTAATTTTCAGAAAAATAATTACCGTAATACTCACCATAAAAATTATTCTCGGCATATTTATTCGATGTAAAATAAAAATGTATCATGCAGATTATGCTTGAATACTTAGTGTTTTAGTTTTTTCGTTTGATAAAAACCATTTATTCTATTTTTAAATAAGTTTTTGTCTATAGGAAACGTTTCTGCAATCCCCTTAATTTTGCACATTTGTTCGCAACTTAAAAGTCTTTTACTTTATTGTAAGTAAAGAATATTCTGAGAAAATTAAATTATTTATTAAAAGAAGAGTACTTTAAGAATTACTATATGCAAAACAGGTGCTAAGTATTAATGTGTTTAAATTTAGATGCTTACAACCTCACGTAACGGTTTTACTTCTACTAATTTTTTATTTGCAGATCAATTGTATCGATAAGGTAGTAATTATAACAAAACTATGATACAATGAATAAGCTCAGAGTTTTAAGAATTATTTCACTTACTTGTCTGGCAATTTTTCCAATCATTTCCGTCCATGTTCCATTTTCGCTTAATCCCCCGAAGTAATCGTCAACTGGCTTAGCAATGGAATAACTAATTGTATAAAAAATTATACATTTCTATTAAGAAGTAACGTTATGTAACTTTTAAAATAATGTGAGGTATTCTCCAAATATGAATATTGAAAACAAAGAACACTTCAGTGTAATAGTTGATGATGTGTTTATAATATCTAAGCATAAAATAAAAATTTAATTCAAAAAAATATTTTAAAATAAACTTTAATCGATCTAACTACGTAGACATTAAATTGGACAAGAAAGCAAAAAAACTTATCTGTCGGCCGAAGAAACTTTTTATATTATTGTAAATTATGTAAATTTGTGTCAGCAATATTTACTCAAGACTGTGTCCAAAATGTGGTACTGACTTCATTGAGTATGAAATTGGAGAAATCGAAACGTTATGTAAAGCTAAGTTATGCAAATACACTACATGCAAGACGTATGAAAAATAATCTATTTCGAAAAAGAAAATTTCGAATAGTCGCATTCATCCTACAAATAAGTTGTAAAGATGGGCAGACAAAATATCAGGAAAAAGCACGAACATAAATGACTAGAAAAAAGCGAGATTGCATCTATCAACTTTTGAAAACAAGTTGTTTATCCTACTAAAACAGAACAGATGAATAAAGTATTTATCTCTTAAATGCCCAATTTTGAATTTCTTTCACATTAAAGTATTATCCTTATTCCATCACACGCATAGATTATATTTTTATGTTTGTTAATATAGAGGAAAGTATACAATGCCATCGAATACACAAAGAGGTTTATATAATAGGATAATGAAAATATTCGTTCATCGGTGAAAAAGGAGTTTCCCATTTACCATGAAAAGGAAATACGGCCGTGTTACGCACAAAACTGTAACTTCCATAATAGATGAATTAACAAGTAAATGATTTGAGCAAGTAAGCATCTGAACAGTCTCTAGTCCCAAGGGGCCTCAAAAATTTATACCATAGAAATTAATTTAAGTTTAGTTTTGTAAGAAAATTTTCTTATACAATTAAACAAAATATATTTTACTCTTTATTTTTTAAATTGTACCTTATTTTATATCTTTGATATACATTTCAACAATAAAGCATTTATTATTAAAACTAATATGTTATTTCTCTTCTACTTATGATTGACTTTTAAAATTGTAAAAGTGCCTCATACAGAGTTCATATTAAGGTCTCTAAATGCATAAGTTGAATCCTGATCGCCATACAGGTTATACACCGTTAGGAGAAAGCCGATATAAGGAGAATCGGTCTGATATATTTTTCTGTAAACTCGTCCGTGCAATGCTTTCTGAATTTAATATATGAATATGTACGATCGAATTAGCTCCTAATAAATTACGTTAGATTTTTATACAACGGAACTCACATGGATTTTCAACACCTTATAGATTAACATAAAAAATATAACTATTTAATTTATTTATTGTCTCAATATTTATAACTTATCTATTTATATTGTTTTATTATTTTTTCTTATAAATAAACAATTAAACAAAATTCGAAATAATTATTACAGTACCGAAATTGTAATTTATCCTGAAGAACTTTGATAACTCGGAATCGATGTCCTCCTATCATTTTATTTTCAGATTCATCGAGTGTTACGAGATATGGTTTCTGAAAAACAAATAGCGACATTTTAAATATGTACTGTATATTGGTGTTATAAATGCGATATTATGAACATTACCTTTATCGCAGCCAGTATCCATTGGTAGGAATGATTTCCCTCAACTGTAATAGTAAAAAAAGTTGAAAAACGTTAAATTTCGGGAAAACAAATAATAAATTATCAGATGTTATTACAAAAATAAGAGTAATTTCTGTTGGAAATATATTTATGCAGTAAAAAAAAAAAAAANAAATTATTTTGTAAACTGCAATGTAGTTAAGTAAGGAGATAACTCAGCAAACTATTATTGTGTTTGCAGTAATAATAATTTGTGTCGGTTTGCTCATACTGTTGATTTTATTTATGGATTGAATATAAACAGATTATTGCCTAAAAGGAAACAGATTTTATATTTACGCTCATTTTTTATAAGCAGAGAAAAAATTGAATAGAATAAATAAATCCGGGTCATCAGATTTCTCCCATCGTTAAACACAAAATAATTTCAAATAAATCATTTCAATAAATAAGCACAGAAGAGACAAAATGTAGCCTAATATAAGTAATAATATAGGACTGATTACATCATCGACAGATAACTCGTGTAATTCTGAAGTTTGGAACACACGAGAATTTTCACTGTAATCGATTTTTTCGATAATTCCGGATTCAAATAAACGACGAATTCTGTAAATAGCGTTCGAGTTAATATTTCGAATAGAAAAAAAATATTAATTATAATATTAACTTACATTTTATTTATTTGATTTGTAAATGGAAAACCTTTCTTCATCGCATAAGCTTCCATAAATGTAGAGAATTTGTCATTCGAAAATACGTATTTGTTTAAGTCTTCTTTCGGGATATACTTTTTTATTACATAATCACTGTATATTAAAGCAAATCTTTCTTTCTGCAGTTTTCCCATTGCTTCTGATAAACCAAGAAAGTTGTTGTTTTGTATTATGTGGTTACTTATAATTTCAGAACTTTTCAATTTGGAACTCTATAAATTATAGAAACGACAAACTTTAGTTTTTAATAATGTATAACTAAACTCTATATTACAGGTATACTTACATGTATTGATCTCCATATCGTGGATTTACCGATAGTTCCACAAGAATATTCATTTGTAAGAACGGAATTTGATAATTCTTCTATAGTTCTCGGAACAGCTTCAGTCAAGGGATAAGTCAAAAACGACATTAGAGTGCCGCTATAACTAGATACAATGACAACGATTGATAACCACCATATTCCTATTAAAAATCTTGATGGAAACCTCCTTATAAAGTACAGATTCATTCCTGTAGATACAGAATTTAATATGGGAAGGAAAACTGTTATGAACTGTACAAAAATAAATCATCTTACCTTCATTTACAAAGGTACAAAACAAATTCCAAAAGACCGTACTTCTTCTCAAAAATATTTTTGTACCTTGCAAGGAAAAGTCTAGTTCTAACACTTTGTGTAACGCTAATCCAAACGCAATCAGGCAAACAAACAAAGAGATCCACACCTGTAAAATTGAAATACAGTATTTCATTTTCAATGAATTTTTTTTCTTAAATAATAAAAATTACTTGCCGTAAGAGAAAATGGAGCTATAATCGAACCCCAGTTGGATAGTTTTTCAGGAGCTTTAACAACAAACACTATGTTATGATATCCAACCGTTGCAGAAAACTGCATTGAGGAGAACAAATCAAAACTTATAAAGAACGGGATTATTCCCATATCCACATCCTGAAATCAAAAAATGAGTTCATTATAATTTAATGTTGAAAAATGAATTCCAACAAAATATTGAATATAAAAGTAACCTTATGGCAGCACTCCTAGGTGTCACAATGTTTTTGAACGTGACATCCACAAAACAAGATGGTGACCTGAGCAGCTACTTACTACACCAACATTTAAAGTAAAATGTCTTTCACTTACTATCGACATATTTCTAATTTTTTTTTCTAATTTCATCGTCAAAATAGATGATTAGAATGATTATTTCATGAATAAATCATAATATTTCATGATAATAAATCCGTTTCCATCGTATAAACTATTTCCGCATTTCTTAATACACGTTTTTAATCGTACGATTTACGGATTTATTATTACTTATATTTACAGCTAAACGTACAATCACTGGTTTATTCCGAAATAAAACACGTCTCGCTCATGGATAAAATGTACTCGTATGCTAAACTAATAGGCCAAACCGTTCTAGTTTATTTCTATTTGTCTGCAACTATCACGTCGATTTCGAGATCATTTCCAGAAACACCAATTTTAATTCCAAGACAATTACACTATGAAACTACAACTGATTTTAATATAAAATTTGTCCAGTCACCAGCTGTTCGAATACTTAGACCAACAGGCAAACGTCTCGTTCGTTTTATGCAAATTAGATGGCAAAAAACGAAAAAAGTTCTCCAAAAATTTTCATAAATTTACATTTACAAATAACTACAAATGACGAATTCCTCAACTTGTATTTATGACATCTAAAAAACATAACAACAATTCTTTTACAAAATTAATTTACTATGACTATCACAATTCGAACTGTCTGCATCTGCATATTGCATATGAAACTTCTGTCAAACATAACAACTGATGAATTTTTCTTGTCAAAGTGTAAAGGAATTCTATTTTTTTCTATTTTATTTTTCTATCTGGGTTTATATGGCTATTTTAGCATTGTTGGCTCTTCCCCGAAATGCGCCGCTTGGTGGTGAGATGAAACGGAATAGGCTTTTGTAATCGTTAAGGAATTAATCTAAAACAAAAGTAAATTTAGCTTTTCGTAAACTAATAAAGCAACACCTAAATCAACGTTCAAAGCAAGCTTGTTATCGAAATTCTGGAATTGCCGCCATAAAAACCATTCAGATGCTCTTGTACTACTGTTGCCATCAAACCGCTTTTCAACCGGACAAGCCGGCTTTTCAATTCATGGTCCAGATTAATTATTAATTGGTCCGGTTATCGTACGCATTGTGAAATTATAATGAAACAAAATAAATTTAGGTAAATATTTGCGAAAATTTTATTTTAACGATTAAAGACTTTAACCTCACACACTTACTCAAACTTATGCCCAGACTAAACGTGACAAAAAATGTACTTTTAAAATTCTAACTTGAAATATCTCCAGCAAATATTAACCACTTGCCACTCATCGATTAATTAATTTTATGTAATTAAGCATTTAAAATACTTAAAACTGAAAAAAACGAAAGAAATGCGTTAAATTTGAAAAACAAGCTACAAATTTTATTTTCCTTTGTCTTGCCATTCTGTGAAATTTGACACTGATGAGTCATTATTTACACTGCTGGATGACAGTGAGAACAGCTGGAGTCGGATTTCCCAGGGCATTCTCATAGACGTCTCGGGAGGACAAGGGTTTAAAGTAGGGTGAATACTAGCTGACCGTATATTTTTAAATATTTTTAAAAAATTAAAATTTTAATTGCGATTTCTGACACCCCCGACTTAATTAAACTTATATATAATAAAATATATTAATTTAAAAAATTAAAAAACTATTGGATGTCGTTTTTGACATCAGAAAGTAGCTTTAAATAACTTTACCAAAGTTAAATTCGTGCACTATAACTTTAGAACGATTAATTAAATTTTATTACAAAAATCCCATTAAAAAACAATTATGCCTTAATCGAGCCTTATCAAAGGTTAACTAAAATCGCGATAAAACTTTTTTCCGTGTGCAAAAATTTTTGAAAAATTTGGAGAATTTAGAAACATTCCAAAAGTAAAAAAAATTGGGGGCCGAAAGGATTGCATTTTTTTGTAACGATACGTAACATGCCCGAGTTAACTCGGGACTGGATATCATGTATTATTCTTAAATTTATGTATTATTTTTCGACATTAATATAGAGCAATTTTGAAAAGGTGACAAGACTGACTTTTACCAAAAGATTTATTTAGATTTAAAAAAAAATTTATTCCTTAAATACATGTGATAGTAAAGAAAAATACGAATCACGTAATGTAAAGGTTTGAATATTGGCCAAAATGAGAATTTCCAATTATAGTTATTTGACGATTGCTAAAATGTAAAACAATTTATAGGCGACATGTATTTCAAACACGACTAGACAAAAAGCAGACCTTTCCGGTATCGATATAATACTTATTTACTTATTCTGGGCATATGTTTTTGTCTTGTCCCATATCTACTTCTGAATAAATGTGAGAATAAAGTCACATTCAAACAATTATATTTGGTATATAAGTTAAAGCAATGTTTTTCAACTTGTGGGTCGCGACCCCAGGTGGGATCGCAAAGTCTTACACGGGGAGTCGCGGGTGAAAGAAAAAAAGAAGTGTTTGTAGGTTCTACACTATATTAAAAAAACTACAATATCAGCGAGAAGGCTGTACCTGCTCATAATACAGTACAGTTGGTTTTTTTATAGATATTTAGGTCTGAATGATGGGTGTCGCCTGGGAGGGGTCTGGGATTATGATTGCCGAATAAGTGTTGAGCTGACTTGTAAAAAGAAGTAATAAGTAGAAAAGTAGAAGTGAAAAATCCTCATCCTAAAATAAAAAAAAACGGTCAACAGTACTTCGAACCCATTGTAATAAGAAAGTGACATACTATACGTGTCTTAAGTTATTGTCGATTCTCCATAAATTCTCATTTTAGTCAACAGTAATTTATATCAGCAGAAAGAATATTAAATACATAATGTTTTAAATTACTGATATAATTTCAATATGGCCATAGGAAGAACGCCAGAATTTTTTAAATTGTAAAGAAGTCACGTATTCAAAAAGGTTGAAAAACACTGAGTTAGAGTGTAAACGTTATTTATACAGTTTAAAGGAAAACGTAAAAGAAGATAGATCTAAGTTTATTTTTCTCATATAAAAACTACTTAATTTTTTTCATAACATATAAGTATAATGGCTCAGACAAAGGGATCTACAGACTATCGTTATTTAATGAATGAAAAGCTAGTGATAACTTTTGATACGCAGTTAATAAACTGGAATTTTAAAAGTACAGGAATACTTTTTCAAAAATTTTAAAAGATTTTCATTGTCTGATTTATAAGAAAAATTCAATAGAGATTTAATTTAAGATTGAAATGGTATTGTTAGTAATAAATGTAAGTTAAACACAAAAATTATTTACCAATGATATTTAGAAAAAGTATATTAATTAAATCACCTATACAAATAGAACTAGTTAACTTTTAAATTCCTGTATATAAGTAAGGTAAGTATTTATTAATTATATTAACAAATTTTGTAATGATTACAAAAGCAATATAGAAAACTTTATTAGTTTACACGCAATTTTACCTTCTGAAAAAAATTGATTAATTAATTTTCAGAAAAATAATTACCGTAATACTCACCATAAAAATTATTCTCGCCATATTTATTCGATGTATAATGAAAATGTATCATGCAGATTATGCTTGAATACTTAGTGTTTTAGATTTTTCGTTTGGTGGAAACCATTTATTCTATTTTTAAATACGTTTTGTCTATAGGAAACCTTTCTGCAACCCCCTTAATTTTGCACATTTGTTCGCAACTCAAAGTCTTTCACTTTATTGCGAGTAAAGAATATTGTGAGAAAATTAAATTATTTATTAAAAAAGTAGTACTTTAAGAATTACTATATGCAAAACAGGTGCTAAGTTTTAATATGTTTAAATTTAGATGTTCACAACCTCATGTAACGGTTTTATTTCTACTAATTTTTTATTTACAGAACAATTGTATCGATAAGTTAGTAATTATAATACAGCTATAATACAATGAATAAGCTCAGAGTTTTAAGAATTAATTTACTTACTTGTCTGGCAATTTTTCCAATCATTTCCGTCCATGTTCCATTTTCGCTTAATCCTCCGAAGTAATCGTCAACTGGCTTAGCAATGGAATAACTAATTGTATAAAAAATTATACATTTCTATTAAGAAGTAACGTTATGTAACTTTTAAAATAATGTGAGGTATTCTCCAAATATGAATATTGAAAACAAAGAACACTTCAGTGTAATAGTTGATGATGTGTTTATAATATCTAAGCATAAAATAAAAATTTAATTCAAAAAAATATTTTAAAATAAACTTTAATCGATCTAACTACGTAGACATTAAATTGGACAAGAAAGCAAAAAAACTTATCTGTCGGCCGAAGAAACTTTTTATATTATTGTAAATTATGTAAATTTGTGTCAGCAATATTTACTCAAGACTGTGTCCAAAATGTGGTACTGACTTCATTGAGTATGAAATTGGAGAAATCGAAACGTTATGTAAAGCTAAGTTATGCAAATACACTACATGCAAGACGTATGAAAAATAATCTATTTCGAAAAAGAAAATTTCGAATAGTCGCATTCATCCTACAAATAAGTTGTAAAGATGGGCAGACAAAATATCAGGAAAAAGCACGAACATAAATGACTAGAAAAAAGCGAGATTGCATCTATCAACTTTTGAAAACAAGTTGTTTATCCTACTAAAACAGAACAGATGAATAAAGTATTTATCTCTTAAATGCCCAATTTTGAATTTCTTTCACATTAAAGTATTATCCTTATTCCATCACACGCATAGATTATATTTTTATGTTTGTTAATATAGAGGAAAGTATACAATGCCATCGNATTGTACAGTAAGTTAGTAATTATAATAAAGCTATGATACAATGAATAAGATTAGAATCAATTCAATTACTTGTATGGCAATCCAATTCACTTTTCTAATCATTTTCGTCCATGTTTCATTTTCGTCCATGTTCCATTTTCGCTTAATCCCCCGAAGTAATCGTCAACTGGCTTAGCAATGGAATAACTAATTGTATAAAAAATTATACATTTCTATTAAGAAGTAACGTTATGTAACTTTTAAAATAATGTGAGGTATTCTCCAAATATGAATATTGAAAACAAAGAACACTTCAGTGTAATAGTTGATGATGTGTTTATAATATCTAAGCATAAAATAAAAATTTAATTCAAAAAAATATTTTAAAATAAACTTTAATCGATCTAACTACGTAGACATTAAATTGGACAAGAAAGCAAAAAAACTTATCTGTCGGCCGAAGAAACTTTTTATATTATTGTAAATTATGTAAATTTGTGTCAGCAATATTTACTCAAGACTGTGTCCAAAATGTGGTACTGACTTCATTGAGTATGAAATTGGAGAAATCGAAACGTTATGTAAAGCTAAGTTATGCAAATACACTACATGCAAGACGTATGAAAAATAATCTATTTCGAAAAAGAAAATTTCGAATAGTCGCATTCATCCTACAAATAAGTTGTAAAGATGGGCAGACAAAATATCAGGAAAAAGCACGAACATAAATGACTAGAAAAAAGCGAGATTGCATCTATCAACTTTTGAAAACAAGTTGTTTATCCTACTAAAACAGAACAGATGAATAAAGTATTTATCTCTTAAATGCCCAATTTTGAATTTCTTTCACATTAAAGTATTATCCTTATTCCATCACACGCATAGATTATATTTTTATGTTTGTTAATATAGAGGAAAGTATACAATGCCATCGAATACACAAAGAGGTTTATATAATAGGATAATGAAAATATTCGTTCATCGGTGAAAAAGGAGTTTCCCATTTACCATGAAAAGGAAATACGGCCGTGTTACGCACAAAACTGTAACTTCCATAATAGATGAATTAACAAGTAAATGATTTGAGCAAGTAAGCATCTGAACAGTCTCTAGTCCCAAGGGGCCTCAAAAATTTATACCATAGAAATTAATTTAAGTTTAGTTTTGTAAGAAAATTTTTTTATACAATTAAACAAAATATATTTTACTCTTTATTTTTTAAATTGTACCTTATTTTATATCTTTGATATACATTTCAACAATAAAGCATTTATTATTAAAACTAATATGTTATTTCTCTTCTACTTATGATTGACTTTTAAAATTGTAAAAGTGCCTCATACAGAGTTCATATTAAGGTCTCTAAATGCATAAGTTGAATCCTGATCGCCATACAGGTTATACACCGTTAGGAGAAAGCCGATATAAGGAGAATCGGTCTGATATATTTTTCTGTAAACTCGTCCGTGCAATGCTTTCTGAATTTAATATATGAATATGTACGATCGAATTAGCTCCTAATAAATTACGTTAGATTTTTATACAACGGAACTCACATGGATTTTCAACACCTTATAGATTAACATAAAAAATATAACTATTTAATTTATTTATTGTCTAAATATTTATAACTTATCTATTTATATTGTTTTATTATTTTTTCTTATAAATAAACAATTAAACAAAATTCGAAATAATTATTACAGTACCGAAATTGTAATTTATCCTGAAGAACTTTGATAACTCGGAATCGATGTCCTCCTATCATTTTATTTTCAGATTCATCGAGTGTTACGAGATATGGTTTCTGAAAGACAAATAGCGACATTTTAAATATGTACTGTATATTGGTGTTATAAATGCGATATTATGAACATTACCTTTATCGCAGCCAGTGTCCATTCGTACGAATAATTTCGCTCAACTGTAAAAGTCAGATAAGTTGAAAGACGGAAAATTTCACACAAAATAAATAATACATTATCAGAAGTTACTACAAAAATAAGAGTAATTTCTGTTGGAAAAATATTTATGCAGTAAAAAAGAATAAAACTAAATAACACCTTATTATGGAAAACGTTATTACAGTTGTAACAGGTAGTTAGAGTATCATTGAAAAGAAATCAATTTATTATTAACAAAAGTACAATAATATAAAGATATTTGTATTATTAATTTAATCGCTTTTCTAATGTGTGTAGTTAAATACGGTTTATGCTAGAACACATTTTTTAAACGCTGACTTATTATTACACTGGATTTATCATATGATAATAATTAAATATCAAAGATTTGTTTTATGATTATTTTATTAATATATCTGTAAGGCATTTGTGCTTTAAAGAGTCATTACTGTTAGCAATGTCAATGTAAATATACTCGTGATTAGTTTCATGATTAGTTGTTTATACCAAAATGTTTCAACGAAGTTGAACATATTTGGTTTTCATTACTGCTGTAAAAAGACAAACGTTAATTTTCTCTAAAGTTGAGGAAAACAGTTAAAATTAAAGTGAGATCATTTTTCATTTTGGTATGTGCATCATTTGCTTTTTTGTAACTAACGAAATAAGTAGAAAGCTCATATATTACTAGAAACATTTTTTACATTTTAATTTTTGTTCAAAATTAACATTGATTTTCTGTTGCCCAAGATAAATTCTCAC